GGCGGGGTTGGCTGTCACGGCTGCAGGGAGGGAAGGAGCGGGCAGGAGCAGGGATGGGGCAGAGGCAGGCTGGAGGGGAGGAGGGGCGGTGAAGGCGAGAAGCAGCGAGGGGAGGAAGCACAGGGGAAGAAGCACAGCGCCGGAGTGAGAAGGCAGAGAGCGGGCAGGGAGGGGACGGGTATGGTAGCGCTGGTGCTGGGGGGGACATGGGCATGGCACAGGGCAGCAGTGGGACGGGGACAGGCAGGGACCAAGCTCCCTTTCCTCTGCGTAAAACCTGAGCCCTGCCAGGTCCCCCCTCTCCTCCTGCCGGAGGGGTGAGTCCATGGCCCCTGCTTGGGTCCCCTCCTGACAGCCCACCCAGGCTGCAGAAACCGTGGAATGGCTCAGGAGGTCGCTGGGAGCAGACAAGGATGGAGGAAAGCAGAGAAAGAACATCGCTGTGACCCGCTGGAGGTGATGCCGTGGTGCCCTGAGCGGCGGGGTGAGGGTGCTGCCGGGGACGTGCTGCTCCCTGGGGGCGGAGGTGGTGGTGATGCTGCCCCTGCCTGTCCCTGCCTGTCCCTGCCTGTCCCTGAACCCTCTCTCTGAGCTGCTGCGGGTCTGCGGCATAATTTAATCCATGGGGAGAAAGGCAGTGCGGGTGAGCACCGTGTTGATGCCCAGTTGGGATTTCAGCTCCGGAATAACCTGCCCTGGCCCCTCGCTGCACCCACCTCCCCAGATGGGTCTCAGAGCCTGAAAGCCTTCTCCTGTGTAAAAGTAATCAGATTTGAAGCGCTTGGTCTCTTTTCTGTGGCCCTGTCGGCCTTCATCCCCACATCCATCATTGCCATCGCTCTGCCGGTCTGTCCTCCCTTCGCTCCTGCCTTTGCCGCATCCTTTCCCCCTCTGCGTCGGGCTGTGCTGCTGCCACCACCGTTAACGGCTCGCCAGCACCAAGCGATAGGCAACAGGCTGCCGCCGCCCGATCCGAGGGCGGCAAGTTCAACTCACTTTTTTCCCCTCATCTGCCTCTCTATATTGTAAAGCTAAACCAGGCTGCTCCGCCTCCCTCTGCTCCCACTTGCTCCCAGCTTGGCTCTCCCGGCTGCAGCGAGCCACTGCGCATCTCTGGGCACAGCGTTTCGCTCCGGCAGCTGCCTCCGTCAAAGATGCGGCACCGGCAGCTTCTCTTTGATTTCTTTATGTCAAAACGAGGGGGTTTGACCAGATTTCTCATTTTCCAGAGTTGCCTTCAGGCTTCGAGGGGGGTCATTCCCCCTTCAGCCTCTGCTCAGCATCTCCCTGCCAGGTTTCACCGCTTGGCTGGAAGAGTTGTTTGTTTGCTCTTCTTCTAAGACGGGGAACAATAAACGCTGGCCGGATCAAAGTCCAGTGCTCGGATGGGTGATAGGGATTTAAATCCCATTGCTGCCAGCGCACCGCAGGTCTCCGCTCCTGTCTGCCAGCGCCGCTCGCAGCCGCCCCGTTTGCCTTGCAAACAGTGCGGCGTCACATCAAATAGGGGCTGGAGAAGAGCAGCCTGGAGGGGTGGCTTTCCGAGGGTGTCCATGCGGCATCCTGTTGCTATTTTAATGTTTTCAGCAATTAATCTGGCAGGAATGGTTGCGAGTTGGGGGGTGATAACGGTATCTGGATCCAAGAGTTGGGGAGGCAGAAGCAGGAGGGCAGATGAAGGCGATGCCCTCTGCCACCCTCATTTCTGCCCTTCACAGCATCAGCAAATCTTCACAGCATCAGCAAATCAAAGCTATTGCCTGGGAATCCTCATTCAGTCCCACCGTTTTCTTGTTGGCCTTTTTTAACCCTCTTTGCCTTTTTTTTTTTTTTTTTTAAGCTTTTTCCAAAAACTAGTTGTTTAAATTAACAAAAAACTATAGTTCCCAGGCTTTCATACCGGCATCGAAGCTTGGCTGGGGGAAGCAGCGCTGGGTGGTGTTTAGCTGTGTAAGTGTGTGTAAATACCAGCAGTCTCTTAAGCCGAGCACGAGTAATGTTTTCTTCCAGGAATATCAAATCGCAGAGAAGAGATACCACCAAACACTTTGAGATGCGGGTTGCCAGAGGCGGTTGTTTTCCTCATAAAGAAGTTTTAGTTTGATGTTTTCTCCAATCCAGAACAAAAAGAGAGAAGATAGTAAAATATGCAGAATATATCTCCCTGCTTTGTATTCTCAGCTACGGGATTCAACAACAACAACAAAAAAAAGAGTGTTTTTTTCTCCCATATGCATAAGTGTTTCTAAATTGTCCTTGGGTAAGATCGATGCTGTTAGGGGATGGCCATGGTTGTCCTGCTGTCTTCACAGCCGTTGGTGGCAGACATTAGATAAGCATGGGATGATGTCCTGGCTTGCCCTGTCACTGTGAGAAGCACAAAGGGACTGTCCCCCAAGCCTGGAAATGGCCCAGCCTTCCTCCGCAGAGAGGGGCTTGAGGATGAGGAGGGGGAGGAATCGGAGACATCAGGGTCACCCGTGAGCGTGGACATACCCACACACGTCGCTGCCCCTGCCTCCATTCCGGCCACCTCCTCCATACCTTATCACAGGCGGTTTTGCGTTTGCACAGCCTCAGGAAGCTGAGTAAACGCTGTCAAATCCTGTTAGCTGCCATTAGCGTTTTCTGTTTCGCAGCCGAAACCCCGCGTTTCCTCCGCAAGCCTCGCTGCCCGCCGCAGCTGTGGGGACAGAGCCCGGCTCTCCAGTCACCCGTATGCCGGGCTGGCAGAAAGCACGGCACTGAAATTCATCCCGAGGTGGATGCCAGCGGGTATCCCACGCGTCTGGGGCTGCCGGGGGCGTTTATCAGGAACCCTGTGCGGCGCTGCTGCAGTAGCTCGTGCGAGCACTTACGTCTTGTGCTTTGCCCGTTTGCGTTTAGGGCTTCCCCTTCAGTTAATAAAATTTCACCAACTGGGACAAAACGCACCAGCGATTTGCGGGGAGATGTGGAGCGAGCGTGAGTTGCCGTGCGGAGGGGAGGATGCTGGATGGATTTGGGGCAGGGGAGCCGCACCGGTACGTGGCTGCTGCCCTGGGCCAGCATCACCTGGATGTTTTGCTGTAGTTTCTATGCTCTGTCCGTTTGCTCTAGGGCAGCAGGTAGTTCAGCTCCATCCTTCAGCTCCTACCTTCAGCTCCATCCCAGCTGTGCCCCTTCCCTGCTCTGGCTGCGGGAAGAGGGTCTCTCCCGCCCTCCAAAAGGAGCTGTTTGTGGATGAGAAGTGGCATATTGACCCGGGGGCACCGAGGTACCTCTTAGCATTTGGCATTTTTTGGGGGGGGCAGGTTTCTCTGTCAGGTGCGAACAGGGCACGCGTGCGATGCTGCTGCGGGGCTGCTCGGGGCTCTGTGTGTCTGCTGAGCCTTTGCATTATATATATGTATTATAATGCTCCTTCTACACCATCTTCCCTTCCAAGGCTTTCCAAATCCTTTAGAAACATTAACTTCTTCGTATAGGTCTGTGAAAATTTAACAGGAGATTAAAACAGCCTGTGTGTCCGCGCTGTTGCCGATCCCAAACTCATCTGCCTGTTTCTCCTGGCTCTGTCCCCGTTTTGTGGGTCTTGGTCACTTTGTGCGCTGCCGTCTATCACCAGCGGAGTTAAAGGATGTGCTGCCACAAGTACTGAAAGTTAATAGTGACTCATTCGGGGCGGATCAGCAGCGCATTCGGCCCCGTTTTGACGCCCTGCTGTGTTACTCGGGTGGAATTTGTGCCCTCAGAAGCCCGGATGCCAAAATGCAAACCCTGCCTTGTGAATTCAGGCCTTTGATGGAGACGTTAAAGATTGACTTGCTTATTGTTTATATTCAGAAGAAGGCAGCAGAGGGAGAGGGACTGCCCTACCTGCGGCATCCTACTTGGCCCCCTGCCTCGGGAGGGCTTTGGACCCCCAGTCCCCCAGGCAGGACGGTCCCAGTTTGCTGCTGCCCCTGGTACTGGGAGCGGTGGTGGCCGAGCTGTCCCCCGTGCCGAGGCAGGGGCTGGTGGAGCCGTGGTTGGGGTTTCCGAGGCGGCTGCTCTGGTTTGGGGTGGGCGCCCCGGGCATGTTGGCGGGTACCTGCAGGGGGATTTGGTGCTCCGAGAGCGACGTGCTGGTGGGGTAAGCAAAGCCACGTCCGTGGAGATGCCCTGCTTCCTTATGGTGTGCCCAGTGAGTGTGGTGGAGAAGCTGGCCAGCCCTCCTCATCCCCCCGCCGCGGGGTCTGGGCTGTCAGAGCCAGAACAGACACTTTTAGGCTTTGGATTGTTGACTGTGTGGTTTTGTCCCATATATATTACAAGGTTTGGATGAGGAGCCCTCACCTCTACTCCGGGCGCATCCAAAGAGCTCCAGTAGGGGCTTTGGTGCGGCGTGGGTGATGGTGAGATGAAGAGGACCGAGTCCCGGGGACCGGGGGTTTCTCCGGGCGGCAGAAGCAGCGACGCAGCTTGAGGGGACCCGCTTGGAGCCCTGCCTAAACCAGACGCTGTTTCTTGTGTTTCTGTAGGTTAGAAATCTCTGTTACATGGTGACGAGACGGGAGAAAATGAAACACACCATTTGTAAACTCCAGGAGCAGATCTTCCATCTCCAGATGAAGCTTATTGAGAAAGATCTTTACCCAGGTCAGTACCGCTTACCAGAGCTCGTTCTTTCAGACGCTGTCCCTGCCGTCCTCTGAAGCCAAAGACTCATGCCCAAAGCCTCAGCCCCCACCCCACAGAAACCAGAGCTGCCCCCTCTCCTGTGGGGTTTATTTAAGCACGGGTTCCTCTGTTGACTCTTTGCCCATCTCCAGTTTTGTTCAGAAACGCACCATTAAGCCATACTCTGGGTGACCTCTGCATGGGACCGGTCAGAAGGACCCGTGCGTTTAGTTAGGTGGTGATGCTGAGGCAGCGTTTCGGTGACTTTTGTGGAGATGGAGCTGGTCGGGAGGAGACGGTGAATCCTGGGCACGGGGCTGCCGGCGCTGGGGCGGATCCGGGGCAGCCAGCTCCCTGGCAGGGGTCAGCAGCCCTCGCTTCGGACTCTTTGCAGATGCCTTTGGCTCTGTCGAGAATCGAAGGTTAAGCTGCTGGTGGGATGTCTCCTAGAGACCACCTCCTGGTCAGCTGCAGTCCTCTGCTCCACATACCGATTAGTGGGGAACATCACGCTACTGCATGCAAAACCTTTTTTTAAGGAAGTGAAATAAAGTTGATTGCCTTCTGTCCTATATTTTTTTCCCCCCTTTTGCACAAGCGGTGCCGGAGCCCGCAGCTCCTGCTCCCTCCTCCTTTCCCTTCGGTGGCAGCGCAGACCAAACCCCGTGGCTGCAGAGCAGTTTTTCCAGCAGCAGCATCTGGCGCTTTGGCAGGCGCTTCCGACGGTTGTTGTGTTTGTGGCTTTGGAGTTGCGTTTGAAGCCATCACATGCTTGGGGTTTCTTCAGGAACTGTCTGGGCTGAGCTTTCCTTGACAAAAGTTTCCTTTGACTGAAGTTTTTGGAGGCTGAGAAATGTGTATGCTAGGATGTTTGTGACTCGGAGCCTGTGCAAATTCCTCTCGATGGCCGGAGGCGGGGGACGATGTGGGGCAGGAGTGGCCAGAACCCCCGGGGTTTGCTCCGGGGAGATGTGGGTCCTGTAAATCTCAAGTCCCTGTGACACAGATCAGTGACACTGTGTGTTGCTCCGTACGTCCTCGCAGAACCAGCGATACGGGTCACCAGCCTGGGCAAAATGGTGTTCCCGGCTGGTCCTACCAACCGGAGACCCCACGTTGCACATCCCAAGAGCCGTTCCCTGGTACCCGGGCAATTTGTGCCAGGTGGTGCTCCCAGCAGTGGTGCCGCTGGCTGGAGGTCCAGCTCAGGAATAACGGGTGGATAAAGGACAAGAACAACAAACTGAGATGCTGAAGGCAGACGCCGTGCGCTGTTGCTGGGTTCTGCAGATTTTTGGGGGGCGGCAGGGGACCTCGTGATGCTCTTCAGTGGGCAAACCCGGTTTAGCATTTGCAGCTCTCAGAAGGAGGGAGGCGCAGGGTAGTTTGCCAGGAGAGCTTTCTGAGCTCACCTCCCTCGTGAACGGGGCGTTAGACGGCCGGAAATGCCCCTGGGGACCTGCGTTCCCCGAAATGCCCTAGGGAGTCCGACCGCCGGTGCATGCCCGACCCTCTCTCTAATGGAGTGGGAGTGGGCATCTCCTCCCGGGGAGGGCTGGGGTGGGTGAGACGGGACCCTCCCCGGCGTGTCGGGGCTCTGGCACTCACGTTTCAGGGCTGGCTGCACTGGTGCCAGTGCTGTGCCATTGCCGTTCCTGAAAATGTTATGCGCATATTCAGGGAAAAGGCCAAGTGCCATTACCGTGATGTCTGTTCTGCCTTAAGGTGAGTGATCAGAGACAAACCCGCGGTGAGAGGGTGGCTCAGGCAGCGATGGGTGTACGGGCTGGGGGATTGCTTCGTGGGTTTTGGTGCAGATGTTCTTCTCTCCTGCCCCAAATGGTTGGCATTTGCCACTTCATTTTCTGCTCTGAACTGACCGAGCTGAGCTGCTCATCTCTCCCGGGATGGGCTTTTTGGTTGAGCCTGAGCGGGGACTGCTGCCTCTGGGACATGGCTCCCACGAGTCGCTGCCGCCAGGGAAGGGGTCCTGCTGCAGGAATTTGGTCCTGGGATCTCCAGGTGGTTTGGGCATCTGGGTCCTTCCCATGCCAGAGGGACATTAGGGACCCGAGTGCCTTTTGGCATCGATGCGTAGGGTCTCCTAAGCTCGGGAGGAATCCCCTTGCCGGGACGTGACTTCAAAGTTGCGATCCCAAACATGGGAAGAAGAGATGGCTCCGTTAGCTGTGACAGTCATAGCGCAGGCAAGAGCACAGCATCGGTACGCATCTCCTCCCCAGCACAGCGCGTGGTCCTCCCGCTGCTCTCCAGGTCCTGCGCGATGGCAGGCGCCGGGGCCGGCGGCAGCACGGCGCAGAGGGGTGGCCGGTGTGAAAGAGGTCAGAGAAGGATTTAGCCTCCAGCTGCCCTTCCCACAGCAGCTACACAGCCGTGGCCGTGCCACCCCTGCGTGGCAGTGCGCGGCGGAGCCCTGGAAAGCAGTGTTGCGCCGATTTTCTGTCCCAGCTCCCGGCTGTCTCACCCTGGTCCCATCCCCAACGCGCACCATTATAGACCCTGCTGGTTTGCTAAGCCATGCCAGGCCAGTTGATGATGCTCAGAGGTAAAGATGCTCAGCGCCCAGTGGGACCAAAGCTATGGATAAACTCACTGCTGCGTTTTCCATCATTACAAAGCGCTGACTGGTTTGAAAGCGGGGGGACGGTTCCTGTAGCATCCCCTCCCCACAGCTCCCGACCGGGCTGCTCCGCGTGCCTGGGGTTTCTTGGTGAAAGGAAGAAGTCTCCATTATTTTGCCTGGATGAGGCCAGTTTTTAACTGCTGTGACGGTACTCATCACCCAAAATCTGTTGGGGTTATTCCAAAGATGGTTTTGGCACAAAGGTTTTTTTGGAATGGCTCCCACATAAAC